TCCACTGTATCTTTTGTATCTAGTGTTCTTGCTATTGTTTGGTTATGCGTATTAAAGTCCTAGTGTTGTATTTCGTGTTTTTAAGAACGTTGTTGCGAATGCACTTTTGCGCATGTTTTTTTACATGTACGTTTGTGCATGTCCATTTGAGCGAGTGTGTTTGTGCATGTTTGTTGATTTGTATTAATGTCCTAGGATTGTAGTTTGTGTTTTCATGAACCTTTTTGCGAATGCACTTTTGCGTGACTACTTTTGCGCATGATTTTGTACTTTTACTGATGTGCGTATCTTTTGTAGCGAGTGTTTTTGTGCACGTTTCTTGATGCGCATTCGTGTCCTCGAACTGTAGCGGGTATTTTCATGATCACTTTTGGAATCCAATTTTGACCATGTTCGAGTCCGAATTTGGAAATTTGACATTAGACAGGAATTGTAGCCAGCTGAAATAGCTTTCTAATGCCGCCGGAACCAGTTGACTTGGAGTCCGGATGAGAAAGTTATGCTCGACTTCGTGGACACTACCGAAGATGTTGAGGGATCCTCTCTTCTAATTTGATTATATTTTCCTAATTGCAACTCTTTTCTTACTCTTTGATCATTTTTGCTTCATGGACACCTCATTATCAATTTGTACCTATAGAATACTAAATCCACCAATTAAAACAGAATTATAAATTAATCCATAAAAAAATCCAGGTAAACGTAAACGCTGAGTGTTATTTCTACACTCCACTGTATCTTTTGTATCTAGTGTTCTTGCTATTGTTTGGTTATGCGTATTAAAGTCCTAGTGTTGTATTTCGTGTATTTAAGAACGTTGTTGCGAATGCACTTTTGCGCATGTTTTTTTACATGTACGTTTGTGCATGTCCATTTGAGCGAGTGTGTTTGTGCATGCTTGTTGATTTGTATTAATGTTCTAGGATTGTAGTTTGTGTTTTCATGAACCTTTTTGCGAATGCACTTTTGCGTGAGTACTTTTGTGCATGATTGTGTACTTTTGCATATATGCGTTTGTTTTGTAGCGAGTGTTTTTGTGCACGTTTCTTGATGTGCATTCGTGTCCTCGAACTGTAGCGGGTATTTTCATGATCGCTTTTGGAATCCAATTTTGACCATGTTCGAGTCCGAATTTGGAAATTTGACATTATACAGGAATTGTAGCCAGCTGATATAGCTTTCTAATGCCGCCGGAACCAGTTGACTTGGAGTCCGGATGAGAAAGTTATGCTCGACTTCGTGGACACTAACGAAGATGTTGAGGGATCCTCTCTTCTACTATGATTTTATTTTCCTAATTGCAACTCTTTTCTTACCCTTTGATCATTTTTGCTTCATGGACACCTCATTATCAATTTGAACCTATAGAATACTAAATCCACCAATTAAAACAGAAAAATAAATTAATCCATAAAAAAATCCACGTAAACGTAAACGTTGAGTGTTATTTCTACACTCCACTGTATCTTTTGTATCTAGTGTTCTTATTGTTGTTTGGTTATGCGTATTAAAGTCCTAGTGTTGTATTTCGTGTTTTTAAGAACGTTGTTGCGAATGCACTTTTGCGCATGTTTTTTTACATGTACGTTTGTGCATGTCTATTCGAGCGAGTGTGTGTTGTGCGTGTTTGTTGATTTGTATTAATGTTCTAGGATTGTAGTTTGTGTTTTCATGAACCTTTTTGCGAATGCACTTTTGCGTGAGTACTTTTGTGCATGATTTTGTACTTTTGCATATGTGCGTTTGTTTTGTAGCGAGTGTTTTTGTGCACGTTTCTTGATGCGCATTCGTGTCCTCGAACTGTAGCGGGTATTTTCATGATCGCTTTTGGAATCCAATTTTGACCATGTTCGAGTCCGAATTTGGAAATTTGACATTAGACAGGAATTGTAGCCAGCTGATATAGCTTTTTAATGCCGCCGGTACCAGTTGACTTGGAGTCCGGATGAGAAAGTTATGCTCGACTTCGTGGACACTAACGAAGATGTTGAGGGATCCTCTCTTCTACTTTGATTTTATTTTCCTAATTGCAACTATTTTCTTACCCTTTGATCATTTTTGCTTCATGGACACCTCTTTATCAATTTGAACCTATAGAATACTAAATCCACCAATTAAAACAGAAAAATAAATTAATCCATAAAAAAATCCACGTAAACGTAAACGTTGAGTGTTATTTCTACACTCCACTGTATCTTTTGTATCTAGTGTTCTTGTTGTTGTTTGGTTATGTTTATTAATGTCCTAGTGTTGTATTTCGTGTTTTTAAGAACGTTGTTGCGAATGCACCTTTGCGCATGTTTTTTTACATGTACGTTTGTGCATGTCCATTTGAGCGAGTGTGTTTGTGCATGTTTGTTGATTTGTATTAATGTTCTAGGAGTGTAGTTTGTGTTTTCATGAACCTTTTTGCGAATGCACTTTTGCGTGAGTACTTTTGTGCATGATTTTGTACTTTTGCATATATGCGTTTGTTTTGTAGCGAGTGTTTTTGTGCACGTTTCTTGATGCGCATTCGTGTCCTCGAACTGTAGCGGGTATTTTCATGTTCGCTTTTGGAATCCAGTTTTGACCATGTTCGAGTCCGAATTTGGAAATTTGACATTAGACAGGAATTGTAGCCAGCTGATATAGCTTTCTAATGCCGCCGGAACCAGTTGACATGGAGTGCGGATGAGAAAGTTATGCTCGACTTCGTGGACATTAACGAAGATGTTGAGGGATCCTCTCTTCTAATTTGATTTTATTTTCCTAATTGCAACTCTTTTCTTACCCTTTGATCATTTTTGCTTCATGGACACCTCAGTATCAATTTGTACCTATAGAATACTAAATCCACCAATTAAAACAGAAATATAAACTAATCCATAAAAAATCCACGTAAACGTAAACATTGAGTGTTATTTCTACACTCCACTGTATCTTTTGTATCTAGTGTTCTTGCTATTGTTTGGTTATGCGTATTAAAGTCCTAGTGTTGTATTTCGTGTTTTTAAGAACGTTGTTGCGAATGCACTTTTGCGCATGTTTTTTTACATGTACGTTTGTGCATGTCCATTTGAGCGAGTGTGTTTGTGCATGTTTGTTGATTTGTATTAATGTCCTAGGATTGTAGTTTGTGTTTTCATGAACCTTTTTGCGAATGCACTTTTGCGTGAGTACTTTTGTGCATAATTTTGTACTTTTACTGATGTGCGTATCTTTTGTAGCGAGTGTATTTGTGCACGTTTCTTGATGCGCATTCGTGTCCTAGAACTGTAGCGGGTATTTTCATGATCGCTTTTGGAATCCAATTTTGACCATGTTCGAGTCCGAATTTGGAAATTTGACAATAGACAGGAATTGTAGCCAGCTGAAATAGCTTTCTAATGCCGCCGGAACCAGTTGATTAGGAGTCCGGATGAGAAAGTTATGCTCGACTTCGTGGACACTACCGAAGATGTTGAGGGATCCTCTCTTCTAATTTGATTATATTTTCCTAATTGCAACTCTTTTCTTACTCTTTGAAAATTTTTGCTTCATGGACACCTCATTATCAATTTGTACCTATAGAATACTAAATCCACCAATTAAAACAGAATTATAAATTAATCCATAAAAAAATCCAGGTAAACGTAAACGTTGAGGATTATTTCTACACTCCACTGTATCTTTTGTATCTAGTATTCTTGCTATTGTTTGGTTATGCGTATTAAAGTCCTAGTGTTGTATTTCGTGTTTTTAAGAACGTTGTTGCGAATGCACTTTTGCGCATGTTTTTTTACATGTACGTTTGTGCATGTCCATTTGAGCGAGTGTGTTTGTGCATGTTTGTTGATTTGTATTAATGTTCTAGGAGTGTAGTTTGTGTTTTCATGAACCTTTTTGCGAATGCACTTTTGCGTGAGTACTTTTGTGCATGATTTTGTACTTTTGCATATATGCGTTTGTTTTGTAGCGAGTGTTTTTGTGCACGTTTCTTGATGCGCATTCGTGTCCTCGAACTGTAGCGGGTATTTTCATGATCGCTTTTGGAATCCAATTGTGACCATGTTCGAGTCCGAATTTGGAAATTTGACATTATACAGGAATCGTAGCCAGCTGATATAGCTTTCTAATGCCGCCGGAACCAGTTGACATGGAGTCCGGATGAGAAAGTTATGCTCGACTTCGTGGACATTAACGAAGATGTTGAGGGATCCTCTCTTCTAATTTGATTTTATTTTCCTAATTGCAACTCTTTTCTTACCCTTTGATCATTTTTGCTTCATGGACACCTCATTATCAATTTGTACCTATAGAATACTAAATCCACCAATTAAAACAGAAATATAAACTAATCCATGAAAAATTCCACGTAAACGTAAACATTGAGTGTTATTTCTACACTCCATTGTCTGGATCCTCGGCAGCTATGGCGATTTGGTTATAACCGGAATACCCATCTAAAAAACAATAAAATTCTTGACAAGCTAGCCTATCAAGCATTTGATCAATAAAGGGCAAGGGGAAGTGGTCTTTTCGAGTGGCTTTATTCAATTTTCTATAATCCATGCAAATTCGCCAACCCGTTACTGTCCTAGAAGGGATTAATTCATTTTTTTTCGTTTTTTATAACAGTCATCCCCCCTTTCTTAGGTACACATTGTACTGGACTAACCCACGCACTATTAGAAATAGGAAAAATAATACCTGCGTCTAACCACTTGATGATTTCTTTCTTCACAACTTCTTTCATGATGGGGTTTAATCGCCTCTGCTATTCCACTGAAGATTTATGGCTCTCCTCCAATATGATCTTGTGCATGCAAAAAGTTGGACTTATGCCCTTGATGTCAGAAATTGTCCATCCAAGTGCTAGCTTGTGCTCTCGCAAGACATCCAAAAGTCTCTTTTCCAGTAGACCTGTCAAAGATGAAGAAATAATAACAGGTAAGGTTTCATGAGCTCCAAGATACATATATTTTAAATGAGATGGTAAAACTTTAAGCTCAAGTTTCGGAGGTTCGATCACTGAAGGCTTAAAAGTGACAGATAACAGGAGCTCCGTTTCCAAACTTTGCTGAATCCAACCAACATAATTGTTCCGTCACTGCTTCTTCCTCAACTGATGTTCCTACACTCAAATATGCTTCCAACGGATCCTCAATTAAAGGTTCAATAAAATCAAAATTCAATTGATCTAACACATCAAAAGCAAAACATTCATCACCCTCTTGAGGGTGTTTCATTGTACGGAAAACATCAAATTTAATCGTTTCATCCCCCAAAGACATAGATAAAATACCATTATACACATCAATTATAGTTCTACCCGTTCTCAAAAAACGTCTTCCCAAAATCAAAGGAACTTCTTTATCTTCTTCCATATCAAAAACTACAAAATCTGCAGGAAAGATGAATTTATCTACTTTAACTAACACATCCTCTACTATTCCTTTTGAGTATATGAGTGATCTATCGGCTAACTGTAAAGTCACATATACCAATTTTATATCTCCTAATCCCAAACTTTGAAAAACTGAGAAAGGCATGAGATTAATGCTCGCTCCTAAATCTATGAGAGATTTTGCAAAGAACTTACCTCCGATAGCGACTGGAATCGTAAACTTACCCGGGTCTCCAAGCTTTGGTGGAATTGGGCGAGTAAGAATGGCACTGCATTGTTCGGTTAAGGCAATCATCTCATGTTTACCGAATTTCCGTTTCTTCGATACCATGTCTTTCAAAAATTTTACCCAATGAGGCATTAGTTCAAGTGCTCGAGTAAAAGGAATATTAATATGTAATTCATTCAATTTCTCAAGAAAACTTTTGTAATACGACTCATTCTTCGCCTTTATCTGGCGTTGAGGATAAGGTACCTGTGGGGTCGGCTTAGGCGCAACGACCCTTTTCTCACCTGGTGGATCTGTCAGAGTCTCAACTTATTTTTCTTGTTACTCTCCTCCATCCTTGCTTGTCGCCTTCTTCGTCACTTCTTCCAATTGTCTCCCATTCCTCAAACTTACGGCTTTGCATTGCTCGTTGATGCCCTTTCGATGATCTTCCGTATTTGACGGTAATGTACCGGCTGGCCTCGCGTTTAGTTGGGTTGCAAATTGACCCATCTGTGTTTCCAAATTTCGGATGGATGCTTGGGTAGACGTCATAAATTGGGCCAAGATATTTGCGAGGTCTCCACCTTGAGGTGGAGCTTGAGGCGGATTTTGGAATCCGGGAGCTGGCCGTGAATAACTAGGAGGTTGACCTTGAGGTGGTGCTTGCCTTTGTCCTGGCTGATTTCCTCCCCACCCAAAGTTAGGGTGATCTTTCCATCCCGGATTATAAGTGTTGGAGTACGGGTTCCTCTGTTGTCGGTTGGTGTCATGCACATAATTTAGAGACTCCATTTCTTGTACGCACTGGTCGGGAACTTGGACTGCATGGACTTGCTGAGTTTGCAATGCCGCTACTTGCTTTGATAGCTTCTCTAGTTGGGCAGTGATTGCGGTGACCCCGTCTAATTCAAAAATTCCTCCCGTCTTAACTGCTCCGTGTTAGAGTAGGTGACCGGCAAGCCAACTAGTGGCTGTGGTCTTTCTCTTTTCTTTGTAATAAAACAATCGTTTTTCGTTCGTAATAATAAAATATCTTATTTGGCATTCTATATCTGTTATCCCATGCAAGCAGCATAGATATAGTCCTAACGAGTTACTCTATTACTGTCAGTTGATCTAGTAGAATCGTGAGACAACTCAGCAATGTAATGTAACTGTTAAACCTTGTTCCTAGTCGATGGGTTACGTCAATAATGAGGATACCGGCCTTTCCCTTTTGAGACTAGCACTTAGTGTATGTGTACTGCGTCTCATCAGTCCTCGGTGTTGTGACATCGGCATACTTGAGTGGGTGCTCATACTGGATGAGTTCACTGAACTCCCTCGCCCTAGAAATCTATAAGTGGTTCTCATTCATCGAGTAATAGGTTTCTAAGATATAGTTGTACACCATTAGTCCTTAAGACCCAGACATCACCGTGACTTCACTAGAGGACCGATTGTATCGTGACCTGTCCCTGAGTCCCACCGCGGACCACTCCAAGGGCCAACGTTCGTGCAATCCGAAATCTAGTGTGAAGTCTGTGCATTGTAGTAGGGGATTCGAGCGCTTGAGTAGTCATGGATGTCCTGTGTGTTCTGACGGTTTATAATCCATGGAATCTCTGGCCAGAGTTGATAGTGGGGTGATTAGGGAAATGTGTTTCCCTAAGTCGCACACGAACGGATTTATAATACCTAGAACGTTCGCACGGTTATTGAACTTTATAAGAGGTCTCGGTGAACCAATGCCTCTAGTTCAATCGGGACATGTGCTACGAAGGGATCGTACTGTACGCTAACTATATCATAAGGTTCTTGCAGGCACTTCATTTGTATCTAGGGAATCATGATGCGTAGTTGCTAGACGCCAATCTTGATTCGTTGGGCACCGATTTGATCGGGATTAGGTAAAATGAGTTTTACTCTAATCGGGACTCTTGGGAGGAGTTCGTATAAGAACAATATGTTGTTCGAATCACAAAGAGTTGTGAGCCCACGGCTAGCATACACCTGAACCATTGAGGGTCACACTTCTCGTGTAACATGGATCCTTGATAACAATGAGCATAGATTAATATGTTAATCTTTGCATAGTTGGAGGTCAATATGATTGAGTCCAAGATTCGTGATTGTGGATTACGAGTCAGAATAAACGTAGAGAAAGAGATATGCGGAAATTAGTGAACTTTCTAAATTGAGAAGTTTCCCAATTTAGCAGGTCCACTGAAGTGGAAGTTTCCAATTTTGGAAATTGGAAATTTTCGAAGAGGCACTCGTAACGACGAGGACTTTGAGCTCGTCACAAATATAATTTTGTTATAATTTTGTGGACGATCGTTAATTAGAAACGAGGCCGACGAGGGAATGGGCTTAATGCATCAGTGGGTCAAGCCCAATGACTTAAGCCCGCTAGGGTTGAAAACCCTAAGTATAAATAGACCTCAAACAAGAGTTTGAGATCAGATTTTTTACACACAAAAACCCTAGCCGTCCAGCCTCTCGGCCGCTGCTGCCCCGCCGCTCCGGCGCCGATCACCGCCGGAATCCGCCGGTTTTTCCTCTCCTTTCTCTATCGTATTCCCTTTGTTATCTAACCCCTTTGTATCTAGTGCTACAGTAGGGGGAGATGCGTTTATTCGAGGTGATACCTAATTGGAGAGGAGCTGCTGCCCCGACGGAATTGCCAAGCCGCCGCTGCACCACCGCACGCGCCGCCGCCGCTGACACACACGCGCCGCCGTCGCCTCACTTTCGGACCAGCTGCCGTTTGGTGGTGTTCCTGCAGCCCTTAGGAGTGGTATATAGCAGCTTGTACGTGACTCGTTCTAGGATTTCGATTCGTCGAAATCGCACGCTACAAGAGGTAAATGAATCGAAACTTTCGTAAATTAATTCGAGCATGTTTTGTATGAATTATAATTTATGATTGTGAGTAATATGTGATTACGTGTTTCGATTTCATTGAATGATGAATAAGCATGTTTCGTAATTTTCGGTTTTACGTAATTTTAATTAAATCGATAATTACCATATGTATGGCGGAAGCGTTAAGGTACGTTGACTATGTGATTAGTTTATGCATGTAATCGAAACTAGTTCGATATAAAATTTTTGAATTCCGCTGCGTATACATGCACGATCCCCAACAGTGGTATCAGAGCCACGGGTTAATCGTTTATTTGTCAACGTGTTTATCGTTTTCGAAAGCATGCTTCGATTTGTTGAATTGTTGAATTATTGGTGTTATCTAATTGGGTGTTTTAATATTAATTAAATATTTTGAATATTTCAGAAAATATAAAAAAAATTTAATTTTGAAAAATTCGATTTTTGCTGCTGTTTTTCAGCTGACCGAACCGGTCCGGTCGGACCGGTCCGACCGGTCCGGTCAGCGCAACAAAAAAAAAAAAATAAACAAAATTTTTTAATTGATTTTCTGAAATTAATATTAAAAATTAATTGATTTTTAATTTTTGAAATTATTTATCAATTAAACCCAAATTAGATAATTGATCCATTAATTTAATTTGAATTCGAAGAATAGTGTTGGATTAATTATTTAATTTAATCGTTAAATTAGTTTAATTAATGGAACACAAATTAGATGGCAAATAATTAATGGACTTCATTCTTATTTGTTTGATTTATGAATGAAGGGAGTCCGTTAATTATATTTGCAATTAATCGTATTAATTAATTAATTCATGAGATGAATAATTGTGATTAAGTACGATGATGATCGTATGTCTCTCTTAGGATCAATATGCGTTTCCACATACCTAGAGAACATAGTTGTAGGAATCACAAACGATCATAACCTAAAACTTCCGATGAGCTAATAAGATTTAATAAATAAAATCCCTCATTCTTAATTAAGAATAATTATCAAGCTATAAAGAAAAACCAAATTGTTGAATTTTTCTTTCCTTCTACCAACAATTAAATTATGTGTAGCCTCTCATAATAGTGCAGTAAGCCGTGTTAGCGGGGAGTGCTATTGTGGGATAAGCTGTAATTTAATTGACATTAGATGGAGATACGGTCATAGATAAAATTATGTTGGATTAATGTGGTCGGCTAGATTAACTAGGGATTGGATTAGTTTGATATAGTTGGATCTATGACATCTCATATTGGTAGGCTGGACTTGACACACGAAGATTTTGATATTCGCTAGATTAACTTAGGTCATTATCAAGTGTGAGGTAAATCGATCTTTAGGGTCACAGAGTGATGTGATTGATAGTACTCTACCTTTAGGCTTATGTAATCGGGATAGATTAACTACGGGTTACATTAGCGCTATTGGACCTAAAGCCCATTAAAGAAAAATAAGTTTTCTCGATTGTCTGCTAGAGGGTGGTGGAATTCGATAAAATTAGTGGGAGAACAATTAAAACATAAAAGTCCAAGATTTTAATTGTAACGATTATTACGAACTAAACTCTAATTATTGTCTTCTTAAAATTTTCTCAGCAACAATGTCCAAACATCCCCTTTCCTCAATCCTCGACCAAAACAAACTCACCGGTCCAAACTATTTGGATTGGCTTCGCAATCTGAAACTTGTGCTCCAAGTCGAGGAGCGTCTCTATGTGCTCAATGAACGTCCCCCCGCTGCTCTTCGTGCGACTGCTACTGCTGACGAGACTGCCACTTTCGAGGCATGGAAGAAGGACGACCTCCATGCGAGGTGCTACATGCTAGCATCCATGGTGCCAGAGCTCGCGAGGAAGTATGAGTCTCACGTGCATGCTTATGATATCAAGCATCATCTTGAAAGCATGTACAGTGAGAATACTAGAGCATCGAGGTACTCAGCTACCAAGGAGTTGATCACCATGAGGCTGCGTGAAGGGGCTTCGGTCCACGAACACGGTCTCAAAATGATCACTCTCCTTGAGAAGTTGGTGAACCTTGATGTCACCCTCCCGGCCGAGCTCTCGGTGGATTTGATCCTACTGTCCCTTCCTAGTTCTTATGAATCGTTCATAGTGAACTTCAACATGAACAAGCTCGATCCACCATTGGATGAGTTGTTGAACATGTTGGTCAGCTATGAGTCCACGATCAAGAAGGAGAAATCTGTTCTCCTAGTTGCTCCTTCTGCGAAGAAAGGTTCTTTGCAGAAGAAAAGG